GGAAGAAGGCTGTGGAGAGGTAGTCAGGCAGTGGGTGCGTTGCCAAGTGGTAAATGAGTGTGTGGGTGAAGGGGCAGGCTGCACAGGGATGAGGAAATATGGAGGAGGAGCAAGGAGGGGCTGATGGATTGGTGAGCGAGTAGACGAACAGATAGTGGGTGGCTGAGTGAGTGACTGGATAGATGGACACAAGACTGGTCAGACTGATGGAGAGGTAGATGGTGAGGGAGAGACAAGGGCAGGAGCGTGGGTAGGAGTCAGATGGATGGATGGAAGATGGGTGGCGGATTTTGGTAGATGGGTGGTGAATGTGTGGGTGGATGGATGGATGGAGGATGGGTGGATGGGTGGACGCGTGGGTGGATGGATGAAAGATGGTGGACAGTGGAAGGGTGAGATGGATGGGTGGAGGAGATGGGATGGATGAATGCGTGGGTGTGCAGAGGAGTCCCCAGCCGCACCTGAGCTTTGGCCTTCACTGCGTCGTACTCCGCCTTCATCCTCCTCTGTGCGTCCTCATCTACACTGGGGTCCCCGATCCGATTGAACAGGGAGGCCGCCTCCTCTAGCAGCCTGTCCAAGAGCTCAGCCTGGTTCTTCACGTTGTGCAGCAGCACCTGGGCATCGCTCAGCTGCCACTGCTTCTCCTTCAGGCCCAGCTGCAGCTCAGCTGGGGGCTCCAGCGTGACCACCATCTTCTGAAACCAGCGGTAGAACTCGCCCCGGGCCAGCAAGTACTCCCTCCAGTGCAGCCAGACCCACTCGATGCGGCTGTGGGAGGGGACCAGGGGACATCAGGAATGGCCAGCTTACTCTCAGCATCCCAATGACTGCGGGATAGGGCTTGACAGCCCCTCTGTGTCCCAGGGGCAACCCAGCTCCTGTCCTATGGGATGGGGAGCCTTCTGTCCCTTTCTCAGGCTTCTATGGGAGGCCAATGTGCCTGAGCCCCAACCGCCGTGGTGATGCAGCCTAGGCTGCCCTTAGCCACCAGCACCCCTAATTCTGGCCCTGAATCTCCGCTGCTGATGCCCAACTCCCTCCCATCACCTCTGGCTCAGGCTTCTGAACATAGTGACCCTGGCCCTTACTGCTCGGTGCCTACAGCCTTAAGGAGAACTGTGCCTTAGTTTGCAGGGCGCAGCTGCACCTGCTGGCTGACTAGGTGGCCAGCTTACTCTCAGCACCCTGGGTGGGTGAGGGTCCGAGGGATCCGCGTGGGTCCCGGGGGCACAGTGACTTCTCAGTGGCTGTGCCTCTCTGCCCACCTTGTGGTCAACTGCAAGGCTGTGGGAAGCAGGAAGCCTGGTACAAAGCTGTTCCTGCTCCCAGGGGCCTGCGGGCCTTCCACCCCCTTCCACCCTCCTAGCTACCATCAGAGTGTCCCTGGCTGGCCCCACTGGGAAGCACGTACAGCTTAGAGAGGTCAGGCAACTCCTTTAAAGCTACATGGGAAGTAACCCTCAGGGCAGGCACCAGCCCCAGGTCTCCAAGTCTCTGCCTCCCTCCTGCCGCTCCTCCTCCCACCTGACACAGCTGAGAATCCCGCTAACGTGCTCTCCTTGTGAGCCGCTGCCTGAGAGGTGCCTGAGGGCACTCGGCTGGCAGCCCAGCACAGGGCCCCTGTGCCCACGGTCAGCATTAAGCTGCAGCATAATTAGGAAGAGGAGGGTGAGGCTGGCTTGAATCCCAGGAGGACGCAGTTCCCAGGAAACATGGAACGCAGGAATTCTGCAGGCAGAGGTACCAGGCCAGCCTGGGACGGACACAGGCTTGCTAAGTCCCGTGACCTGGCCACCTACCTGTGACAGTGAGTCATGTAGGTGACAGTCTCCTCCCATTGGTCCTTGAGGCCCCTCAGCCGGGCCAGGATCTCAGGCCGCTGGTCCTCAGGGCAGCATGCCAGGAGGGCTTCAGCTGCTTGCAGCACTAAGTCCACCTTCACCTGCCCCTCAGGCTCCAGCCGGCAGATCTTCTGTTGGAGACAAGAGCAGGGGGTGCCAGGGGTCAGGATCACACAAGCGGGCACAACCCGGGGAGACAGCGGTGCATGCAGCACAGGGCCAGGACCGTGCAGCCCTGCAAGTCCTCCTCGGAGGCTCTGGGCAGCCTGCTGATGCCTGAGGGTAGGTGGGGGAGCCTTAGGGGTCACCAGCTCTGCCACCTGCCTCTGGGTCCCCACCCGGCCCACGTCTCACTGTGAGGTCCTTCATGAGCAGTGTGCAGGTCCTGGAAGAGTGACTAACCCAGGACACCTGGCCCTGCTGGACTCCGCCAGAGCCCCCAGAGGCCTGAGATGCTTCTACCTGTGCCCCTAACCTTTGGGGGAGCCTTCAGCCCTCCCTCCTGTCCTCTCAGGGGTATTCTCCTAACAAACACCCAATGGTTGACCTCCTCACGTCTCAGCTTCCCGGAGGACCAGGACCAGCACTAGGTCCTGCAAACAGCAGGTCCCCCACCTTAGCTCTTGCCACCCTTACTGCGCCACGTGTCGACAGTTAGTGCTTGGCCTCTGTGGTCAAATACAAGTGGACTCCAGCTCCCCACTCCCTGGTGACCTCTACCACTGAACCTACATCCTCAAGTCATACAGTGCAGAGGAAGGGACAGTTTCGCTACGGCCACACTATCATGCGGTCCCCGCTGTGCTGGCCATCAGAGACCTCCCTGTCATTCACTGCCTTTTGTCACCCTGTCTCTGTGTGACACAGGCTCTGCTCCCCCAGCTCAGACTGTTGTCCTGGCAGACTGGCTGTCTCTGACCCTCCGGCAGGGGATCGGGACCCTGAATGTCAAATGCTGCCCTGATGGCTCTGTGACCCAGACATGTCGCTCAGCTACTTTGGGGCTCCCGTTCTCATCCGGAGATGATGATGATGGTAAAATCCTACCTTGTGCACCCCATCCATCCATCTCAAGAACATCATACTGATTAAAATGGACCTGTGGACTTTGGAGACCCCCAGGCAATGATGCAGCCCCTCCCTCGACCTGCGCCTGGACTGTGGCTGTGGTCCTTTGTGGGTGTCTGTGTGCACAGTGGGTGGGGGCAGAGCACATGGACAGAGGAGACACACCCGGGACAGGGAAAGAGGTCTGTGTGGCCGCATGGCCGACGCAGCAGGTCTCCCCAAGCGCAGTGGCTGCAGCAGGTGCCCAGACAGGGACCCGATGTCCCTCTCAGTGGTGAGTGGCAGTGTGGACAACAAAACTCCCCTGGCGGGCAGTGCAGACCGGAGACGCCAGGCCCCGTGCGGAGCACACTGCCCCTGGCACCACTGCTCACCTACCCCAGCCCTCGACAGGGAGCAGGCCCTGCAGTGGGCTGCTGAATTCTGTGCCCGCCAGAGAGAGATTTAGTATGCTTAACAGTAGCTGGGACAGTGCACACCTGTGAGGCCACCTCCTCGGGAGAGCTGAGCCAAGCAGAGAGGTCCCAAGTTCAAGCCTGGGCAATTTAGTGAGACCCTGTCTCAAAAATAAATATGTCAGGAATGGTGGTCCACACTGTAGTATCAGCATTTGGGAGGCTGATGCAGGAGGATCACTGGGAGTCCAAGGCCAGCCTGAGCTATAGAGTAAGACTGTCCCAGACAGACAGACAGACAGACAGACAGACAGACAGACAGACAGAAGTAAGCCCTGGCGTTGTAGTCCAGTGCTAGAGCGCTTACTTAGCACCCTCAAGGCCCTGGGTTCAATCTCCAGTAATGCAAATATAACTAGAAGTAATAGTTAAGGGAACAATGTATCTAATTCAGCCCTGTGAAGGGGACTTCATCCTCTCTGCTGCTAGAAGGTGGGCACAACAGCCACGTGCAGAGGAACGCGGCTCCAGCACTCAAGCGGGCCAGGAGCCGGCGGGGAAGTGAAATTCAGCCTCTTGGCGCCACACGCAGGAGCCCACTGAGAGCCCAGCCCAGCGCTGCCCGACAGCCCCAGTCCACTGTGTGATCCGCCGGTCCCTGGGCCCTGCATCTCCCTGGGGACAGGGGAGACCCCAGCAGTCTCTGCCCTTCTCAAGGGAGTGAACTGGACGCTTCCTGGCAAAGGGCGAGGAACTGCCCGGCCCTGTGGCAGGCAGAACTCCAAGCCCAGCCTGAATGGCAGCAGATCATACCACAAAGGGTCAGCCGTGGGACACGCCCCAGACGCCTGTGGCCATGAGGCCGAGCTAGGTCTCGGGAAGCCACAGAGCCCTCCTCGCTGCCCCAGAGCGAGGTTTCTCAGGGTTCGTTGTGAGCAAAGGCAAGGACACAGTCTGGGAGGCCCAGGCGCCTGGGAAGCGCTTTGCACCCAGCCTTGAAGCTATTCTTGTTTGAAGCCCACAGTAAGGCACCCAGCAAAGCCGGAAATTTGGGGTTAACTGGCGCTTGTCCTCCATCCAGCCGAGACCAGTGGGCTGCCCACAGGCCCTGTGCTGGAGACTGCGCCCAGCAAGCACAAGCCAAGCGGGCATTTCCAGGCTGGGCTGGGGAAGAGCTGCAGACAAGAGCCCAGGTGATGGACAAAGAGCCATCCAGGAGCTACAGAGCGACCTGCAAAATCCCCGAGAGCTTCATGAGGGAGGCAGCATCGACGCCCAACCTCAGCATTGGTGCAGACAATCGGGGAGAAGGCATGGGCACAGGTGGAGAAGCAAGGTGTATTTAGGGAGTGGTGCATTGGGCTTTTGGAAGCCAGTTCCCAGTAAACACTGGCTGCCCCTGACCTGACGGGTCCCTGGAGAGAAGGACTGGGAGGGCTGGAAAGCAAGATGCTGGGCCTGGAAGAGGAGCTGGAGGCCCTGGGTGGCTCCTGGAGGCTCAGGGGATGGACCAGGGCAGCAGGGGCCAGGAGCCTGCCAGGGCAGCGGCTGAGCCAAGCAGGCCCAAGTCCTTCCCTTGCTGCCACCTCCCTCCTTCCGGGTGGCACCGGTCACCCTCCCCAGGAGCAAGGACAGTTCCTTCAGCTGGGGAAAGAGGCCCTGACCCCGCCCAGTCATGCATGCAGGTGGCAGCCCAGCTCTCAGCTCAGTGAGCCTATATGCCCTTCTCTTTCTATCCTGGGGACTGAAGCCAGGGCTTTGCATGAGCTGTCAGGGCAAGCGTAAGGCATGAGCTTCTCACTGGAAGTTGGTGTCGAAACAGCAAAGCACACAGAAGACACCCCAAGAGAAGGCACAGGAAGGCACGGGAAGGCACCAGCCTGCAGGTCACTGCCTGGAGCTCTGCTGCACCTGGTCCACCGAGAGCTCCACCTGAGGACCAGCCCCAGGCTTGCTCAAGCCAGGATCCCATCAGGAGGGCATGACCTGCAGCCCAGTGGAGTACAAGTCAGCAGCGATATGGCTCATAGCCAACAGATCTGGGGCCTGAAGAGTGCCAGGAGGGCTGGGGGCTATAGCTCAGCACTACGGCATCAGCGTGGAAATTCTCTTTTTTTTTCACTTATTTATTTGGTACAGGGTCTCACTAGGCTGCTCAGACTCGCAGGGATTCTCCTATTTTTCAGCCTCCCCAGCGCTGGGATTATAGGCATGTGCCACCACGCCCGGACTCGTTTGCCTTACACCCTGAGGGGCGGGCTGACACAACATGTTGGACTGGGGATCAAACCCTGGTTCCTGCGTTTGCCAAAGCAGGTGCTTAGTCTGCTGAGCTATCTCGCTGGCCCTAGCATGGAAATTCTCATCCAGTCTCTGACTCTTGGTTCACTGTGCTTTGTCCTTGATCCCTGGCACCTCTGGACAGAGTCGGTGTAATGCTGGGCAGGGCACCGGGCACCCTCGCTTCCTGTCCCATTGGGCGCTGCATACACTGACTCCCTGCCTTGCAGGGTGAAGTCAGACTCAGGTCTGGGGAGCTCAAGGGGTCGCTCCTGTGGCTGGGCAGGGCCACCATGACCCCACAGGGACCCAGTGTTGGGGAGTCATGCTCATGCATCCCTGCCATGAAATGATGGGGAATCCGAGGTGGGGTGGGGGAGAGATGGGTTTGGCTGAGGCAGCGTCTCTGTATACCTCAGTTTCCTGCAGCCTGGCCTCCAGGGCCTCGAGGGGCCCCTGGGTGTTGTCATTGACCTGCAGCCGCTCCTGCACAGCCTGCATCCACGCACGGGCTTCCTCCACGCTCCTGTCGAAGCCCTCCTGTGGCTGCTGGGTCATGGCACCTGCAGGGGTGGGAAAGGACAGAGGGGTCAGGCAAAGGCAGGTCCCTGGCATCCCTCCCAGAGGGCAAGTGGCACGGAAGGGCAGAAACCAGCAGGCTGTCACGCAGCCCCAGCTCCAGGCAAGGGCAGGATGCGAGAGCCTCGTCCTCCTCAGCCCTCCCGCCTCTGGTCCTCTGGACTCCCTGATTGGGCTCAGGCTGCTCCACTTGGTCTCTGAGGAGGCTCTCAGAGCACACAGGCTTAGATATCCTCAACCCAAACGAACCAGGGCGTGCAGGGACAAGGAGGCCCCCACCGAAGGAACGTGGTCTGCGGCATCAGCCAAGCCCACACCAGATCCCAGCTCCACCCAGGTTAATGTTTCAGGCTGGGGACAGCCTGGCCAGCTGGTGTGCTATCCCTATTTGCCACCCTTGTGTGGCCACGGCAGACACAGCTCGTGTCCCATCCACCGCCCTCCACTCCACACTCCAGGCAGCCGCAACAGTCACTGACTCAGCACAAAGCCCAGGGGCACCTCCTGCCTCAAGTGACAGCTGCTCTCTGTGCCACCCATCCACACCCGTCCCCCCTGCATGCCTCGCCGTCCACGGACTGTGGCGCCAAAGTCCTAGACTTTCTCGTGTGACTTTTTAAAATGTCATCGAGCCAGGGCAGAACCCTTCTGCAGCCTGTTCCGCTGTCTACTCATAGTAACTACAACCTGCTTTGGATTAAAGTTATTTATATCTGCATGTTGTGCGGCGGGTTTGTGCCCGGCTAATCCCAGGTCTCCCACATGCCCCACTCATCCCTGTTGGAGGGAGGAGCCAAGAAAGGGGACAAAGTCTAACTTGAGGAAGAAACTCCCCTTGTCCCAAGAAGGAAAACCAAAACTGTCACATTAGACTCCTCCGCTGGTAGAGGATGCCTTAGAAAAGGGAGGCTACGCTTGGAGTATGAAGCCACCAACAAGGACAAACACCCAGGGAAGTTGCCAAGAAGAACGCACCAAGGTAGAAGAGCACTGAGAGGGGAGACAAAATTAGGTATCGAGGGGGCTGGAGAGATGGCTCAGTGGTCTAAAGCACCTACTTAGAACAAGTTCAGCGAAGCACAGGGACCACGGTTCAGTCCCCCAGCACCACATGCCAGCCAGCCCGCCCCCTGGTGGGCTGAGCTGGCCACACACACACACCACTCTCTCTCTCTCTCTCTCTCTCTCTCTCTCTCTCTCTCTCTCTCTCTCTAATAAATAAAAAAAAAATTAGGTATCGTGCATTTGGGGTCACAAGTCTACACTTGGGAAAAGCAAAGCGAGACATCAGTAATGACTGCAACCCCGCTCGGAGATGAAGGTTGGTCAGTGTCGCCATTGGAGGGCCCGGGTCACAGCGCGGAGGCCAGGGACACGAGTCCAGGTTGCCTCAGCCACCCCAAGCCTGGCTCTGCCCATGGGGCGTGCAGCCCCTCTGACTCCCTGGCACGGGGGGCACTGTGGCCTCAGAGGGCACGCAGCTAAGGACGACTGCCTGTGACTAGGGGGAAAGGCCTTCTCACACTTATTTTTGCTCTTAGGAGCTTTATGAATTTTCCAGAAAGCGTGATCATTACTTCACAGTGAGAAAATACGCGCAGGCCGACGTGCCGGTTGGCCCTTGCCTCTCTAGTGAGGGTTGGTTGCTCAACAGATGCTGGCTGGGGCTCCAGACCCCGCCTTGGGCTGCACTGGGCTTGGATCCTTCAAAGGAGACCTTGCAAAACAAAGGGAGATGGCTGCCGCCAGCAGGCTGAGTGGGTGCGGAAGCTGGCCTGGGCCTTGGGGTGCAGCGGCCTCACGTGCTACTTCTCTCTCCTTTTTCATGTTCTTGCAGCCACACCCTGCCCTTGAAAGCATCTTTTAAAAGCCCATTAGCAGCCCAGCATGGTGACACATGCCTATAATCCCAGCACTCGGAGGGTGAAGCAAGAGGATCCTTGTGAGTTCGAGACCAACCTGGGCTACAAAGTGAGCTTCAAGGCCAGTCCAAACTATATAGCAATACCTTGTCTCAAAAAAGACAAAATAAATAAATAAATTTAATTAATTAATTAAAAGCACATTAGCACACGTGAACTTTCAGATTGGATCACAGTACAGTGTCCTAGCTGGCTTCCCAAAGTCCTGCTTTTATGCTTATAAAGCAAGGACTAGAGGGACAGAAAGGCATCTCCGGGGCTCAGCCAGCAGGCAGGGGCAGCAGCCGCGTCGTCCAAGGTGCTGAGCCTGCAGATGGGCCCCTTGCTGGTGACGTCCGCTCCTGGGAGCGTTGGGGCCTAGTGACCCGAGCAGATGGCTGTCAGGACAGTGGGCAAGGTGGGCTCAGCTGGGTGAAGATGGAGCTACCCCGGGTGGCTAAGGGTGAGCGGGGCTCAGGACACCTGGGTCTCATGGCCAGCTCTGCCTGCACAGTGCAACACAGGGGACTGTGACACCACCCTGCCCACGCCTGGTGCTGCGACCACAGTGGCAGAGGCCTGTATCCAATCCCTTCTCCACGCAGCTCTCAGCACAGCCTGAGACATGGGCAGCAGCCACCTAGTAATGTGCGAGACAAAGCCACGGAAACTGTGAATACCAGAAGGGCCTTGCTTTGCCAGCCTCCTAACAGGAGATGCCAGCAGCTAGCACTGGGCAGCACGAGGGGCCTCCTGGGTCCCCCCCAAATTCACAGCTCTGACTTCTCTCTGTGCTCCATCACTCCACAGCCCCAAGGGGGAGCTCTGCTCTGAGCCTTCTAACCCCAAGGAGAAGAGAACCAGACCCCAAAGCAAGTATAAAACTGTAACAGATTAATCTGGGAGGCTGAACCAGGAGGATTCCAAGTATAAATTATGCCTGGGAGACTTTGCAACTTACTGAGACCCAGTCTCAAAACAGAAAAATTTAAAAGGGCTCACTGCAAAAGCTCTGGGCTCACTCTCTAGCACCACAAGAAAGAAAGGAAAGATGGAAGAAAGGAAGGAAGGGAAAGAAAGAGAGAGAGAAAGAGAAAGAAAAGAAAGAAACAAAGAAACAAAGAAAAGAAAGAAAGAAAGAAAGAGAGAGAGAGAGAGAGAAAAAAAATTGACAGATTACAAAGCAAACAGGCAAGACACAGTTCAGCTATGGCAGCTCATGTCTGTTATCACAGCACTCAGGAAGCTGAAGCACGAGATGGCCTCAAGTTTGATGCCAGGCTGAACAACACAGTGAGACCCTGTCTCAAAGAGAAAAAGAAGATACTCAGAGCAGATGCCTTTGCTGCTCTGACCTCAGTTTCCCCATCTGTACACCAGGATCGCTGAATAGTATGTGGCTTTGGCTCGGTTTACTCCTGAAGGAATTCCTGCTCCAGCCTGCTTCCCAATCTGTCTTAGTCACTGAGACCCACCATGCTGACCCACAGGGTAAAGAAGGAGAGGCTTGTTTCGGCTCACGGTTTGCAGAGGTTCCAGTCCATAGTTGGCTGGCTTCCAGGCAGACCAGCATGGTGCAGGATCAGCAGAGGAGCAGGCGAGGACAGCCGACAGACAGGAAGCAGAACGGGAACGAGGGAGGGAAGGATATACGCCCCTCCGGGCCACTCCCCCGGCAGGCTCCTCCCACCAGCCTTTCCAGCCCAGCGGCACACCCAGCTACAAACCCGACCCACCGCAGATGAGCACCATACACCCACGATCCAGCCAATCCCCAAAGCCCCCCTGTGAGTGCAGGAGGCTCTGGGAAGACACCTAGATAAGCCTAGTCTGCCCCTGGCCATCCAGAGACTCATGCCTGCCCTCTTACGCAAAGGTGCATCTAGGTCATCTATCTGTGAGAGTAGCCCGAGTTTCAGCATTGCTGAAAAGTCCAAGTTCAATCTCTGAAATTTAAAGCAAATTCTTAGTTCCCAGCCCCTGTACAAATATAAAGAAAGTTAAACTCTTCCAACATACAACGGCAAAATAAATCTTCCCACTCTAAAAGGTAGAGATGGATGGAGGGCATGGGACCAAAGTGAGACCAAACCCAGCAGAGAAAACAACAGACCCCACAGTCCCACATTCAGCACCCACAGCAATCTGTGGCAAGATGGGACCTCCAAAGGGCTCAGGAGGAGGTCCTACAGTGACCACCCCTACAGTGCTGCCAGTGGTGGTGGTCCTCGCTGGTTCTTTCTTGGGCTTGTCTTCTCACTCCTTGCAGCTGTCCTCAGCTGATCTCTGCTCCTGGCCTCTTGAACCTTCTGGGGTCTGCACCTCTGGCTTCGCGCTCCCAGCTCCGCACGCTGCCCTCTCAGGAGCATGCTGCCTGGCCTCTCAGGCATTCTTCTGATATCTGGGTGCCCACAATTCTTACATTCTGCATGCCCAGCCTCCATGAATGACACCAAGGCCTATCACCAGCTGGAGTGGTGGCTAAGCCCTTTTGCAGCTTGCTGGTGGTTACAGAGGTCTTGGAGTGCCTGGATGGCTGAACATGGTGAACTGAATTCTGGGGAATCAATTCCCATTCCAGAGGGTACTGCCACTGAGGAACATGGTGGCCCAGGGCTCTGTTCTCAACCCCAAGTCTCTCACAACTTTGCAAAGTCCTTGTAATTTTGAGCATGCAAAGGGTAAGTCCTGTTGGTTCTTGTGATGTCCTCAGGTCATCTTTTCTATTATCTTGGCTTTTTAAAGCTAATCTTTCCAGCAACCAATTTCTCTGCCTCATCTTTGCAGGCCTTAAGTTTACTGGAGCTTTTACTCTTGCTAAACTCAAACTTTAAAAGTCAATCTACTGGGCCAGTTGCCCTTGATTTCCAAGGTAGAGCGAACTAAAAACCCAACAGGAGCCACACCACCACCTCAACATTAGACTGCCTTGAAATTTCTTCTGCCAGAGTAATCAGTCCATCACCCTCAGTCTGAGTCTGCTTGCAGTGTCTCTGGATATGGGCAAAGACATGTAGGCAAGTCTTCTACAAAAGCGTAACAGACACAGGCTGGAGCCCAACTGCCAGTAGAATTCTTCTTTG